AGAATATATAAACTTCAGAATACCAACTTTGTCATTTTTAGCTATTGCCCTAAGATGTTACGGAAATTGCCACGAGATACAATATGCTTCTACTATTAGATTGTTGGCAGTAGCGGACAACAAAGAAGTTCAGACAAGAAGGAAACCTTATCTGCGATAGTAGAAGTGCTACTGGACTTGAAAAGTGTCCATTACTACAACGCAGAGTTTTTAATAACTGGAGCCTTTAGTTTCTGAAATCCATATTGCCCACAGGTGTTTAATCTGTATGCTCTTGAGTTACTTATAGATTATTTTGTTTTCTGTGACCTTGTTATACCATTTTAAGTGTATTGTAGTCATCATAGTGCGTCGAAACGCTATAATTGGTTAATATTTTACACTAGGCTCATATGCTTTATTTTCACTTCTTTTCAGTGCAAAAACTGAATTCTGATCAACTGAAATCAGTGCTGTATTTACACGCACTTCAATTTTCTTACGTTACACTGTTCATTTTATTGTTTAGAAAATCTATATACAGTCTGCTAGTAAAATAATAAAGTATTAGACAGAGTATAATGTGGATATCAAAAATTACGAGATCAACTATCCTTTTTCTTCTTATGATTGCAAAGACTGGTGGAATTGTAGGGTTTTACTCGAATATTCATTTGAAGTTTCTAAAAAAAATCATACCGAAGATTTATGATCTATATTATATCATCTTTAGAAATGGGATACCACACTTTGGCGCTGAGGACTTGTTTTAATAGACAATGAACATTACTTTGGTGTTGATCACAGCCTGGACTCTGTTGCTAACATTCTGTCAAGTATAAATGTAGTGTGATGTTTCAGGACTTCTCTCTTATTTCCCCTCTCGAGACATCCAGAACATTCCATAGTGGATTCATAAACGGACGTTGTGCTGGTCCAGGCATATTCTGGACATTATGGATAGGCTTGCACATCATCATACTGAAAGATGTGTGATCCTTCACCATAGCATTCCACTGAGGTATTACCAACTCCCTTACTATTACCAGTGGAGTAAGTTCAAACTAACCAAAATATGTCTCAACATGATAATACGCTACCACGTCAAACAGATTACCGTTTATCCGACGTAAATGAGATATGGGGTTCCACCACACCACGTGATCATTTTCCATTATTTGTCGCCCCAATTTTAATGCTTAAAGCACCGAGGGAATTGGTACAGCTTTAATTAACAGTTTATGGATTGTGGCCCATCCTTGAAAGCCAGCAGCATGGAGTAATTCCCTATATACTGTAAATATGTCAGCCTACGGTTCTCAATTTTCTTTGAGGAATTGTAGATAAAGGCGTTAACGTTAAATGTATGCTTTCATTTCATAATACGTGCTCATCAAACAAAAATATTATTTAATTCTAGGTACCCATGCTGATGATCTATTTAACACATCCAGAGGTGTTTTATTTCACACTATCCAAAGTGGATGCGGATATTAGTAGGATATTTAATAGCCATTCCATATTGAAAGTCCACACATCTAGAGGGGTTTTATTTCACATTATCCAAAGTGGATGCGGATATTAGTAGGATATTCAATAACCATTCCATATTGAAAGTCCACACATCTAGAGGCCTTTTATTTCGCATTATCCAAAGTGGATGCGGATATTAGTAGGATATTTAATAACCATTCCATATTGAAAGTCCACACATCTAGAGGCCTTTTATTTCACATTATCCAAAGTGGATGCGGATATTAGTAGGATATTTAATAACCATTCCATATTGAAAGTCCACACATCTAGAGGCCTTTTATTTCACATTATCCAAAGTGGATGCGGATATTAGTAGGATATTCAATAACCATTCCATATTGAAAGTCTACACATCTAGAGGCCTTTTATTTCACATTATCCAAAGTGGATGCGGATATTAGTAGGATATTCAATAGCCATTCCATATTGAAAGTCCTGCCTTTAATTTTGTTCCATCTTGACTTCAACGAACTGTCTGTAGTAGCTGAGATCCTCATAAACACTTAGCAGCAGAACACTGCGAGATTTGAAAATAAATTCAGTGGTTTGTTTGAAATAAAGCACAAAGCTACACAATGAGCTATCTACGCTGTGCCAACCACGTGTATCGAAAACCAATTTATAGCGTTAAAGTCCGCAGACTTACCGGTGAGCCACTGTGGCGAAATATCTTAACAGATCTTAACTAAAGGGCATTAGTTACTCCAATACTTTTGATAATAGAGTGAATTTCAACGTTGCTTCTATAGAGGATAATGGTGAAAACAAAGGAAGGTTGTACAAACCTGTGGCCTTCTAACTCTCAACCTGTAAAAGTTACAAAATAAAACAAAATATATGTCACAAGTTTAGTGACTCTACTCCTCACCATTCTCAACAGTTGTCCAACAAGTTGACAGGCTCAGTTTGAATTTAAATACTATTTTACTGTGAACACTCATTAGTATCTTAATTATATTGCATTGATAATGACAGTAGTGTCGCCTATATTCATAAAATAACAGTAACCTTGCTCCGAATTTAATCTTAGTTGAAATTACTTTTTCTATAGTTTTCTAGAACTACTATTATATTTCTGACGTGTAAGACATAGTCATTTATAAGATAATTTACCAAATCAAAACTGTCAACAATTCATAACGAAAGAACGTGACAGGTTATATCCCCAAGTAAAATTTTATTCTATTACAACTGACCAGCACTGATATCAGCTTATTAGTGTGAAAACTAACCAGGAAATGTTGAAGTTGTTTCCAAGGTGCTTGCTTAGTGCAGTGGTCTAGACATACAGAGCTGTAATGTTTGTAAGACTGAAAGTTTCTGGAAATGTATTACATTGGAATATAGGTGAAGAAACTTCGTAACATTCTGGCATTAAAAGAAGTGTTTAATATAGGGGGAAAAGTACTTTCAAAGAAGACGCTTGTAAAGTTTCGTCTCAGAAAACAAATTTATACAACGATATATTCCTTTGTTGTTCCTACTAGGCAACAGTGTATTATATACAAAGAATTTAAGTACATTTCACTGTAAAGGCAGTTTCGATTCCCGGGTATCATTAATGTAAGAATTCTGCCATCTCTAAAATTATAAACAAGGACGCTTCTATTTTTATTTATTCTGCAATGTGAAGTTATTGGTGTCAAAGCTCAATATATCCAACTTAACGTAGAAGGTTCTGAATTTAATTATTATTATTATATCTATTAATATATCCAACTTAACGTAGAAGGTTCTGAATTTAATTATTATTATTATATTTATTAATATATCCAACTTAACGTAGAAGGTTCTGAATTTAATTATTATTATATTTATTAATATATCCAACTTAGCGTAGAAGGTTCTGAATTTAATTATTATTATTATATTTATTAATATATCCAACTTAACTCCAGTATTATAACAAACTAAGAAGTGTATTAAGACTTTTTAAACAACGCTGCCCTCCAAAGGATATTTTATACGCTAATTCCACTATGTCTTTTTTTTCATTAAATTTATTTATCTATTTATTTAATTGAAATATTTATCTGTTAAACAAAATGAGATGTTAAGAAAAAAAACAACTATACAATTTTCACCATATAGTTTTCTTGATCACTAATGTCTCTCCAAATATCAATATATATATATATCGTTTAACTTACTTTGCAATTTCGAAAAATCAAATCAATAACTTGTACTTTACTTAGATTTAGACTTGGTGAGATTATCCAAGAAAATTTGAATAATGTAGTGTTTGCAGCAAGACTAATAGAGTCTCTTTTAGACATTATTAAAAGCTCCGGATTATGTAATATTTCAACAGCTTCTTTATGCTGTAGTGAAAGCTTCAAGTTATGTAGTGTTTCAGCTGCCTTTTATATCCTAGTAAAAGTTAAATACTCTGTGTTTAAGCCGCATTTTCATGCTTTAGTGAAACTGTACTTCAGCTGCTTTTTACACCCTATTAAAGTTACAAGTTATGTGTCTCAGCTACATTTTTATGGTTTAGTAAACTTTACAAGTTATGCAATAACTTATACTCCAATAAAGATTACTAATAATGTGTTTAACTGCTTTTTATGCTGTAATAGAAGCAAAAAGATCCGTAGTATTTCAATGTCTTCTTTGTGCTATAGTAAGGCTACAAGTTATGTAATACTACAGCTGCTTTTTATAGCACAGTAATAGCTACAAGTTATGTAATACTACAGCTGCTTTTTATAGCTCAGTAAAAGTTACAAGTTATGCGTTTCAGTTGCTTATATATGCTTTAGTGAAAACTACATGTTAAGTATGTGTTTAGTGTTTTGGAGTATTATTTATACTCTAGCAAAAGCTAAAAATATACGTTTTAGCTAATTTTTATACCCTAGTGAAAGTTACAAGTTATGTTACGTTGTAAAACGTATTACTTATAGTCTTATACAAGTACAATGTGTGTTTTATGCTTTAGTAAAGCTACAAATGATTTAATGTACCAGAAAATGAATATTACATTTTTGCACGTTCACTGTTCGTAGGAAACAGAAACTAAAGGTCGTGTTTGTTAGATTTTAACATAACAATGTTTAGGGACAACAAGGCTTAGCTGTCCTATACCCTAAATTAAAACTATCAAATAAATGACTTAAAAAATCTTAAAGCCAGTCCTTATCATTCATACAGTTATCAAGATTTCTCTTAGAATCACTTAAATTTACTGCCTCCACAAAGGCCAATCACCCTGTTAGAAAAATAAAACTGTCTTAGCTGAAGATGACTCCTACCTTGCCAAAATTATATTTGTGTCCTCTAGTACTACTATTGTTGACGTTTTGAAACTAGTTGTATCACAAAAATTAGCCAATCACCTTAAACTTTGTTCTTTGAAGAAATAACCTACCATCTTCAACCCGTCAGGCTACCTCTGCATATCACTTCTTGTTCCCAACGAGCATTTAGATAAGTCTATATTCATGCATGTTTTCTATTACGTTATATATTACAAGTATACTTACGTTGTACGTTCACATTACAAGTCCTTGTGAAGAACCGATTCGCTTTCCCTTCCTCAATTTGCTGTTTCATAGTACGTATAATGAGAAAGTGGTGCAGAATGTCAAACCGCCCACGATCCGCACGTGTTCTAATTTGGGTGTTGACAAAACCGGGTAACCCGTAGGTGTCCACTATAAGAGGCAGTGAAGTTGTGCACGAAGAATTTCAATGATTTCGCATATCCGTCTTCATGTGGTCAGTACAAGGTTAGATTAGGCCTCGTCTGTGTAGTCACGATAGTATGGTAACAAAAAGAAGGAAGACTTGTACAAACTATACATTAATTCAAAACACTCATTTACCCTTTAATTTAAAATGTTGAGATAAGTGTGTGTGCAGAATATCGAAGATCTTTATCACTTATTTGTCATCTGAGCGTGCACACAAACAACTCTTCAAACACAGCATTTTAATTTTTTTGTAGACTTCATTAAAATTATTAATATTTTTTTTTCTAGTCAATATAATCAATTCCAAACAAAGGAGGTTAAATGATAAGTTTTAAATGAAAAGAAACAAGTACTGGGTATTTAGGTAGAAAATTACGTTATACAGTTTCTATGATAGGAGAAAGAGAACATTAAATGTATCTTCAATTATAGTTCGTTCTTCTGTCTCTTACCTTCTCCACGTTTAGGTGCCCCTTCTTCGGAGCGGATGGTGATCACTACAAAAGCTAGCTTAGGTAAATCCCTGAAAGTTACAGTTATTCAAATATCCATTCCTTGTCAATGAAAGCTCCAGCAGCTGTGCCACAGTACCATGTCACGGAACAGTAGCAGAGAGTATCCGCCGGAGACATAGCCCACTGGATGTAGGGCAGAGGAAAGTTACGACTGTGTTGGAAATTTAATTAGACATTTTCAAAATAGTACACGAACTATGAAAATATAAGCGTAAAAACAAACAAACGAGATACTTGGGTTGTGATTATTGTGGCATCTTATAACGAACATGTATTAAAAAAATGATAACGTTTAATCATATGCCAGTGCATCATGTGATACCTTATCCGCATTAAATGTTCATTGATCAAAGGCAGAGAGTGATTTATCCAGATTAAGATTTTAGTTACTCGAAATAAAGTGTACAGTGTAGTAACTTATCTCAAATAAAACGTTTTTTAATATAAACCCACTAAATAGGGTATCAGCTATTCCCACATTAAAACTTTCATTTCGTTAATATTTATTACCGAATTAAAATATATGAAGCTGTGTGATAAATCGTGTTTATTTCAACCCGAAATGTAACTTCTCCTACATAGAAACATATAAACAACGAAGTTGAGACAAACGATTATTGTGTGTGATGATTGTACCCTCTAAGATATAATGAAACTTCACTAGAAAGCCACTACCATGAAGAGAGCTCTCAGGACCACCGACATGGAGCAGAGAAACAGCGAAACGTCATTATGAAGTCAGTACCATAAAGAGAGCTCTCAGGACCACCGACATGGAGCAGAGAAACAGCGAAACGTCATTATGAAGTCAGTACCATGAAGAGAGCTCTCAGGACCACCGACATGGAGCAGAGAAACAGCGAAACGTCATTATAAAGTCAGTACCATAAAGAGAACTCTCAGGACCACCGATATGGAGTAGAGAAATGTAAAAACTGCAACAAGGATTTCAACAACTTATGAAATAAAAGCTACCATAACTCATAACTGTTAACATAATAAGCGCAAAACTGTTTCTTGGAAAAGGAAATAGTTCTTCAAAACCGTGACTTGAAACTCGTTTCATTAGTAGAAGGTTATAATGCCGTTGAACTGCGTTTTGCAGCGTTTACAATTAAAATATTCAAAAAACTGTACACGTGTATGTAGAAAGGACGACTGTTTCGCTATCTAGAGGGAAATACAAGTTTTTTTTTACAATTTCCAGTTAAGCCAGTACTTATACAAGTAAAGACACGTAAGGGCATTAACTTACATTTTTTGTAACCTCTCTGAATTATTTCTCAGTTCTAATCTTCATATAATTGACTGACACAACAAAGGTATTTAAATAGTCATGCCTAATTATCTACGAACTTCGGGAGCTATCAAAGTGAATAATATAAATAAAAAATCTCCGAAATATATATAACTTAAAAATAACATGGGCCACTTGCGAGTATATACGTGTCCCTCTACTTATTATGTAACAACAACAATTACAGCTTTGAAACATGGGTCGTTTTAGAAGTACATTTACTTTTCAAAGTCAAATTTCGAAATACTAGGTTCAAGTACCGGTTTCAAACTGTTAGTTATAAACCTTCCTTTCATTCTATCCATCAAGTACCGGTTTCAAACTGTTAGATATAAACATTCCTTTCATTCTATCCATCAAGTACCGGTTTCAAACTGTTAGTTATAAACCTTCCTTTCATTCTATCCATCAAGTACCGGTTTCAAACTGTTAGTTATAAACCTTCCTTTCATTCTATCCATCAAGTACCGGTTTCAACCTGTTAGTTATAAACCTTCCTTTCATTCTATCCATCAAGTACCGGTTTCAAACTGTTAGATATAAACATTCCTTTCATTCTATCCATCAAGTACCGGTTTCAAACTGTTAGTTATAAACCTTCCTTTCATTCTATCCATAGAAGAGTAAAATTATCTAGGACAAATAACAAAGAAGTGTTAGAGATAACTCATATAAAAGTTTTGTGTATATAGTTCTCATTTGCCTGAACAGTTTTTTTTTATAAGATGTAAAGATCAATCCCTTTACATTTTGTTACTGTAAGATAACAATTAAAGTACAATTCAATGTAAATACATGTAAACTAATGTAATATTTGAATCAATGAACTAATGTTCTTTCTGCGTTTGTCTGCGAAGTACAGTACTGGTACTAATCATAGAAATGCAACGGTGATACACATTATCAGTCACAAACAATGAATAAATGCAGCTAAACGGTCAAAATAACATCAGTAAAATGCGAGTCCTAAGCATGCTTCACTTTAGATGACACAGTTTCATCTCTACCATCAAATTAGCTATCGTTATTTGTAACCAAACAATTTGAATACATCTGTAAGAAGCACCCTCCTCCAATTGACGCCTTTGTTTCAAGTGGTATTAAGCAGTTATATATCCAGTGAGACCATTTTTTGATAAGTTGTATCTAACTGTTCTGTACTTACAGGTAGATCATAGGCAAGGTCTTTACTGGATTTCCGTGTATCATGTAAAGAAAACACCCTTAACTTTGGGATTTTTACCTCGACTGCTTCTATTATTCACGTACTCTCTCCAGAATTTCATACAACTTATATTGAAACATGAAACATCTGTCCCGAGGAATAGCTTTCACCGGCCAAAAGTTTTGATTTCTAAATATTTTCCATATGACATTTCTATCTTGGGCAGCATGAGTACATTCAACACACCAAAAATATGATTACCTTTACTTTCATAGGCACTTGATGTGGCATCTTCTTATTGGTATGGTGACAGCCAATCAGATTGTAATCTATCAGCACGAGACTCTGGTGCACTTACAATATAGGGGAGAGCAGTCTCATAATATTTACATTTTATTCATTGTATACACGAATATTTTTAATACTGTATGTAGGAGGTCTATAACGAGTTAAACAGCTCCCAAATGCGGAGCGCGAGTTTTTGTTTTTTTTTGTTTAATTTTTTTGCTAGTGAAAGGATGCGAATTACAGAAACTCAGCTCCACAATCCGGGCACACTCATCACTGAGACGCGATCGGCCCTCGTTGGATTTTCTTGGTCGTTAATGATATTGGTGGTTGTAATCCCAAAGATATCTAATCAGATTCAACGAAATTAGGATATTTAAGTTAAGCGTAAATTTGCATAATAAACTGTTGTACAAGATGTGTTTAAGTTTATTTTTTTTACTATGTTATTATTATTTTGCATCCGTATGAAAGTGGACGCTGGTCAACATCAACTCCCTCAAGAAATTATGAACCTTGCTCACTTCTGTTTTCTTTTTGTAACGCTATTGACACGCATGGTGATCGAGAGGTCAAGAGGTTTATGTTGAGGAGATGAGTAAATAAAATTATACAGACTTCATGCCCCCCAGTGGCACAGCGGTATGTCTGCGGACTTACAACGCTAGAAACCGGGTTTCGATACCCATGGTGGGCAGAGCACAGATAGCCCTTGTGTAGCTTTGTGGACAATTAAAAAGAAACAAACAGACTTCATAATGCTTGTGCTGCGCAATGAGAACTTCATATACTGACAGGATTAATAATTACAAGCATGAGTATAACAAAAGTTAGGGGTCTCTTCGTTTTCTTCATTTAACTCAGCTTAAATTCACAACTATGTCATTGTGTATTAGTTGTGTAATGTTATGCATTTTTGTTATGTATTACAATTTCAAATGGTCTGAAACTGAGTTAACTAATGAATTTAAATTTAGTAGTGAAATTGTACTTTGGATTTCGCAGTTAAGTAAAAGCCGATATATAGTCAGTTTATGATATTTATCAAGACTGATACATACATTTTTCTTTTTTAACACAAATACGTTTTGATATACACACAACAATACAATTTACAATAACAGTTATTACAAACAATGATTTAGAAACAAAAGTTTTACAAACTTACAAGAAATATAAAGTCTTCTTTCTAGTCTGGAACTTCTTCGATATTTTATCGAGGGTTCATGATGAGTGAGTTGATTAAGAATTGATGTAGGTATAATTCACTTAACAGGAAGCTAGCTAGCTTTGTCTCTCGTTATTTACCAGCCACACACACGGAGTTTCTTCGATGGATTTATATAATGTTTCGTAAAAATGTCCGATGAGAATCCACTGAAGTTAAATGATTTGTAATGTTCGAACTTT